GAGATCAGTCAGACCCACCTCGAATTCAACAACTGTTTCGAATTTCACAGTAAATACCCTGTAGTCTTGTGGTGCACCTCCACCTCCATCGTCTTTATGAACTTGATCGCAATGGAGCGCTAATCCTGTATGATTTATGAACTTTTCGTTGCATATGGGACAAACTACCCAGCGGTAGTTTGTGGCTCTCAACGCCGCTTCTTCGGCAATTTGACGCTTGATGTCATCGACTTCTTCCTTGGGAAATCCGTGGACATTTCGCAGGTGCATGTACAAACTCTTCCTTAACAACACTCTCGTACATAGCTTGCATCGCCAAATTTCGTCACCGCCTCGAGCCTTCTTCTTAAAACGAACTATAAGGCGAATCAGTCAAAATGAAAAGAAGAAAAACCAAAAAAAGGAAAGGGTCGCTGTCTAACTCGCGCTACGATAACCGACCACATCGAAGCGGTCCGACCTGGAAAGTAGTATGTGTGTCACGAAGTCTGGTGAATTTTTCGAGAAGATTCTTTCTCATTACCCTACTGTGAGGTGAATGCTGTACAGGTGAAAACGGCATCGCTTACCATAGCAGTCCAGGAGTCAATTCCCGCGTCGTCGAGGGTGCAGGTTTGCGAGAAACAAAATCTACTATTAGCAGACTTGGACTTCTTAGCGTGGCTTTTCTCAATGGACGGGGGGGGAAGGGGAGGTCATGGGTCATAGGTCATTTCTACTACACTGATAAATTAGATTTTTCGGAGCATATCAAAAGGAGGGTACTAGCAGCTCACTCACGTATATATCACATTTTCAAAGGGCTATCCACTACAAACCCACAAGTGTTGTTGCGTGCCTATAAGACCTATGTTAGACCCTTAGTAGAAGCTAGCACTACGGTATTCAGCCCTACGAAAAAGAAGCACATTTACGCACTTGAGAGGGTACAAAATAGCTTCACTCATAAACTAATGATTAGAACTAGTAACTTTGTCTACTCAGAAATGCCGAATGCCCCAAACAGGAATAAACTCCTACGGTTATCATCTCTGGAGTCCAGACGGAATGTTTTCGATCTTTGTCTGGTTCACAAGCTTATTGAAAGGTCGCCTGGGTCTTATGGACTCAGTTGTCCATCGACCTACCGTACTTATCCTCAGTTCGCTTTCTACACAAGCACATCTCCTGTAACGAAAAATCGACATATATTATTCCCGGAGAAACCATGACGGGACAGTTGGAGCTTACTTTATGGCGACCGGCGCAGCAGGGGGGGGGGGGAACTTCTCAGTTTCACAGCAGGCACGGAATATGAGATGATTAGAACTGTACCTATACTAGAAATTCTTTTTGACTCAAAAACACACTTTTTGTACTAGTTTTTGTGACGGAGATGGTGCAGTAACTAACGGTACGCTTACCAGGCGCGCGGTTCGTGTCGAATCTCGGATCGACTCCAAGCCTTCCACTTCCCGGAACAGTAAATTGGTACCAGGTTTACTGGGAGGCTAAGAACATTGGCTCGTACATCGTCTTACCAATGCAGGTCATTTATAGGCCGAATCGCCCTACGGTTGCATTCAGACTTTGCGGCAGCGGCACCAGCGACCAACAGCGACCACCAGCGTTTCGAGCGTCCGTCAGCGTCAGCGACTAGGAAAGTATAGATATCGATCTAGCGAACGGCAGCGTCCACCAGCGACCAGTAACGTCCAGGAGCAGAGAATATGAGGAAGTAGGAGGGTAGCAGACAGCTGAAAAAAAAGCGAAAGCAACTCCTCCACAAAACTGCTAAAGCACAGAATTACGCAAAACGTAAGCTATTGTGTAGTGGTACGGTGCGGCTAAACACGCCGCAGTTTCATGACGCCTGATCAAGCTGCTCACGCACGCAATCTACTCTCCTACTTCCCCATTCTCTATCAACAGTCTGCTACCCTCCTACTTCCCTAAACTCTCTACTCCTGAACGCTGTCGGATTGATCTATGGTGAAGACCTTATCCTTTCGAATTTTTCCAGGGTTTCCGTTACCTCTCAATAATTTGCTGTTGTTCCAAGTTTTAAAGCATGTAATAAAAACCAATCTAAAGCCTACTTTGTTATGACTTTCAGATATCATTGGCACCGGTACTTCTAGCGACTGAGTAGGTCGATGGCCGTTTAGTACAACTTCATGATCCTGACCTTCAACTTCATGACCTTGATTTTCCAACATTCCGTGTAGCATTTCCTCCGTGACGGCATAGCACTTCTGAAATGAAGCTCCCAAACTTGTCCCAAAATTATCATCAGCACGGCGCTGTTCGACATGGGAGGGGCATTTCGCTCTACTGCTGGTCACTTTTGCTAGTTCACGCTAACTGACAGGTCTCATTTTAGTGAAAACTGTAAACTTTTATCAAGCTGCGAAATGGCACAAGTGAACTAACTTGGTATGAGAATTCACAGCTCTTCACAAGGTGATCAGGCTGCACTGAGTACCATTTGGTGCCCCCCCCATGCCGAAATGTGCCCGTTAGTAGTAATACGCTTCATTTTTGGTTGAAGTAATAATATGATAAT